CCCCGCCCCGGGGACCCCCCATCCCCGCCAAGCAGCTTGGGAGTCTCCTGCCAGAGCCCCCCAGCTCCAGCTGTCCCCCGCTGGCTGCCTGCCCTTGGGCACATCCCTTAGCCCGGCTGGGCCTGCTTCCCCACCCCCAAAAGGGGGACCCAGGGCGCAGTAGCCCAGCTGCTCAAGGAGCCATCAATGTTGTGCAGGGTCCTGTGAATTCCTTGTTTTCTTTACTATTGTCCTGTGTAGTCATCACTTCCTTACTACCTCTTTGAGAAATAAAAATACAGGACTAGGCAGCACTTTAAAGACTAACAAGATGGTTTACTAGATGATGAGCTTTCGTGGGCCAGACCCACTTCCTCAGATCAAATAGTGGAAGAAAATCTGCATGACCATATATACCAAAGGGATACAATCAAAAAAAGTGAACACATATAAAAAGGACAAATCAAATTTCAGAACAGAGCGGGGGAAGTTAATGTCCGTGAGCTAATGTTATTAGAGGTGATAATTGGGGAAGCTATCTTTGTAATGGGTAAGGTAATTAGCATCTTTGTTGAGACCCAGGCATAAAGTGTCAAATAGAAGCATGAATGACAGTTCAGAGGTTTCTCTTTCAAGCTTCTCCTCCTAACTTACGGGAAGGTCTGGGTATGGTTGTGCCAGGGCAACAGGATGTGCCTGGAATACGATTGTTTTTCATTAAACAGAAAAGGAGGGGTCTGGTAGGAGGGAGTCATACTGCAGAATGACCACAGGAATGAAGCAAGGAACTGTTGGTTGAGGGTTCGAGCCCTGCCCACCCTGGGGGCAGCAATACCAGCTTCCCAAGGGATGGAGCTGTCACCCTGGAAAAGTAGGGCTGGGGAAGCTGGTGGTGACTGAGCAGGAGGCTTCGAGTGGTGGGTGAGGTTTGGCGTCTTCCCCCCCTCCCCCACACCCTGAGGGCAGCCACTACTAGCTTCCTGAGGAATAGAACTAGCACCCATGGAAGGTGGGATTGGGGAATCTGGGGGCAGATATGGGGACCAGGATGGGAACCCACTGGGGCAGCAGGAGTTGTTCTTGCCTGCCCCCAAGCTGCTGCAGTGACAGAGGGATTCGGTTGTTCTTTTTCCTTGGGACAACCTGCATACCAAACCCCTCCATCTCCATCTCAGAGCATTGATATAAATTAAGAAAAACAAGACTTCTTTAAGGACCCGAGCAACACTGGGTAAATCTTCTAGTTTAAACAATATATTATTCTCACAGCAAAATGATTGACCAAGTATTATCAACTACAATTAACAGTAAAAGCATCCTGATTAGTTAATAAGACTAATAATTAAATCACTGTTTGATATCATGCACTGCAAATAGCTGCAGGAGGCACCTTAAAGAGTCATTATTTTATTAGTTTAGCCAGGGTGAGGAAGAAGGGAACAGGTTCCTTCCAGACAGGAGGTAAAATGTGGAAGTACAAGTCTACATTGTGGGGGAGATCAGCTTTTAAGGTATGCAATTCCAGCTACAGAAACATTGACTCCCCGTATGTACCTTAAGCTGAGCTAAGGTTCCCTCTTCACTGCAGGAAGTCAATAGGAGAAACGCTCCCATGAACTTCCTGTACTCTTTGCGACAGTGAGGAGTGCCAGCATCAACAGGGGTGCTCTCAGTGTTCAACTTAGCATTTCCCCACTAGGCCTGCTAAATCAAATGCCTGAAGATTGACAGCAGCAGTATCAATCTTCCCAGTAAAGTAGATGGCCCCTAAGTTCCTACAATGGAAGCCACATTTACCTAGGGAGACACTGGGATCAGCCTGGCCTTTTCCCAGACAACGAAGCTTAGGGAAGGTATAGATCAGTGTTTCCCAATTTTATTTGGCTGAGGAACCCTGTTCAGCTTTTCAGAATTTCAAGGAACCCCTAGGTTTGTCAAGCAAAAAAAAAAAAAAGAAAAGAAAAAGAGAGGGGGGGGGAGGAAAATCCCCACCAATGCATGAAAATCACATTCCTTCCCCAAGACCCCACCCCCCCCTTCCTTGAGGCCTCCCTCCTGCCCTCCCCTTGGCTGTGTCTACACTGGCACAATCTTGCGCAAAAGCTTGCTTCCTGTCTACACTGGCCGCATATTCTTGTACAAGAACACTGACGATCTCATGTATGAAATCAGGGCTTCTTGAGCAAGAACTATGATGCTCCAGCTTAGGAATAAGCCCTTTTGCGCAACTGTTCTTGCTCAAGAGGCCAGTGCGGACAGGCAACATGAATTTCTTGAGCAAGAAAGCCCTATGGCTAAAATGGCCATCGGCCCTTTCTTGGGCAAGAGAGCGTCCACACTGCCATAGATGCTCTTGTGCAAAAGCCCAGCTCGCAAGTACTGAGTTCATGGGGCTTGGTTGGATGTGCCACTGCGGCACCCAAGTTATTAATAAATATCTTATAAACCTAGACCTTTCCCCTCTGCTGCCATGTCTCCTCCCCTTGTTCCATCAGCTCCCCTGGTGCCTGCTGCCCCTCAGCTCCTCACTCTCCTCTGCTGTCCTGGCTCCTGCCCTTCTCACTGCCCTCAGCCTTCCTGCTACCTGCCCCCTCCACCAGCCCTTCTCTCCTCTCAGTGCCCACTCCTCCAGTAGCCCCACTCTGATCATGAGCTATCCCTCCTCATCCCCTCTCCTAACACCTCCCTCTGCACGCCTGCCCTGCCTTTCTCCTCTGATGCTGGTCCCTCCACTGCAGGTGTCTGCCCTTCTGCTTCACCCCCAGAATCCCTTGACACCTTCACCTTCTCTTACCCCTGCACCCTCCTGATGCCTCCCCCTTCCCTCACTTCCCCCACCCCCTTTGCTCCCTTTTTCCCTGATGCCCACCCACCACCACCCTCTGTCCCCATTCCCCTCATGCCCCTGTGCCCTCTCACATGACTTGCTCCATCCCGGCCTTCCTCATGCCCACCCCTTCTTTCAAGCCTTCTCCCAGCACCTCCCCCTCTCCCCTCTTGCCCCCAATGTCCTTACCTTCTCCCCTCCCAGCATCACCCTTTCCTGCTCCCACTGACACCTCCCCTCTTGCCTTTTTCCTCATTGTCTGCACTTGGCCCTTGGCATTTGTCTCTCCTGCACCCTTCCCCTCTCTTCCCCCCCCCCCCCCCGCACACACCCCTCCCGCTCCCCCCCCCTGGCATTTGTCTCTCCTGCACCCTTCCCCTCTCTTCCCCCCCCCCCCCCCGCACAAGCCCCTTCCTCTCCCAGCCCTTCCCCTTCCTTCTGCCTTCCACTTTGCGAGGCTGAATTCTGCACCCTGTCCCCAGACTCCAAACCCTCAACTCAGCCACATGGCGCAACACAGCACCCAGCAGTTTTAAAATCCCAGGCCGTGATGTTATGTCACTCCCAGGCATCCCCCCACCCACTGGTTTGAGCTCAGTGAAGGTTGGGCACGGCAGGGACGGGGTGGGAGGACGTGCCGGGGGGCCAGGGCCCACTCCAGCTCTAAATATTGGTGGAACATGAGCACAAGCCCATACAACTGGCTGCCCATGCCTCTGCTGGCTAGCCAGCTCTCTCTCTCTTTGAGAGGGGGCGAGGGAGTGCTGGCTCCTCGTGAAAGCCCTAGTTTTGCTTCGTGGAACCCAAGGGTTCCCCGCAGCACCAATTGGGAAACACTGGTATAGATAGAAGCAAAGACCACCCCTTTAACTTGAAGCTAGGAAGTATTTGGGCAGTGTGATTACATTTACAAGATGCTGGTGAAAATGCTGCTGTATCAATGCATTGAACATGCCTATCGGACATGATACCCAACATGATTTCTGCCTGTAATTCTTGCTGTAGTATAGATACCAGGGACAGTGTTTGCAAGTCAGAGGGCTGTTTAAAACAATGGGAACCTTTTGTATTGCACGTTTCTTTAAGTTAGTCTGCAGGTAGCACATCCATCTCTTGTAGGGGAAGGGACATAAGTACCTTGTATGTTTCCATTAAGGCAAGATATGACAGATTTACAATCTAGTCTCCACATACAGGAAGACTAGGGCCCAGAATATAAAACTATGGTACGCCCATACCTTGAATACTGTGTACAGATGTGCTCTCCTCATCTGAAAAAAGATATTTTGGCCTTGGAAAGGGTGCAGAAAAGGGCAACTAAAATGATTAGGGGCTTGGAACAGGTCCCATATGAGGAGAGGTTAAAGCAACTGTACTTTTCAGTTTAGAAAAGAGGAGACTGAGGGGGGAATATGATAGAGGTCTATAAAAGCATGAGTGGTGTGGAGAGGGCAGATAAAGAAAAGTTATTTATTAGTTCCCTAAATAGAAGAACTAGAGGACACCAAATGAAATTAATGGGTAGCAGGTTTAAAACTAATAAAAGAAAGTTCTTCTTCACACAGCGTGTTGTCAACCTGTGGAACTCCTTGCCAGAGGAGGCTGTGAAGGCTAGAACTAGAACAGAGTTTAAAGAGAAGCTAGATAATTTCATGGAGGTTAGGTCCATAAAAGGCTATTAGCCAGGGGATAAAATGGTGTCCTTGGCCTCTGTTTGTCAGAGGCTGGAGAGAGATGGCAGGAGACAAATCGCTTGATCATTGTCTTCGGTCCACCCCCTGTGGGACACCTGGCGCTGGCCACTGTCGGTAGACAGGATACTGGGCTAGAAGGACCTTTGGTCTGACCCAGTACGGCCGTTCTTATGTTCAGAAAGAATCTCTTGACAGCGCCAACAAGCAAGAAGGTCATATGAACTATTTGATCCTGGCATGGCATGCTACTGACAATTATGCATAAGGGAATTCTACAACAGGGGGAAAAAAACCTCCTCTCCCATGTCTGGTTATGAATATCAATCATCATCATCCAGCCATAAAATGAAACCATTTCCACAGGAACTTTGAATATGTTTAATATGGAGGAAAAAAATCCACAGAAACAGTAGATGGAGTTGTTTACAGCTGCGCATTTTTTCACAGAACACTGATGCTGTGACCCGTTGGCACTTGGATCATTGCAGCACAGCTAGGAAGCTGTTCTTGTATACTGTACATTCACAACAATGGGCAGCAAGCAGCACTTGGAATCCAAAAAGAAACTGCACCAAGTTCCAGCTGAACAAGAGAGGCAGGTGGTGAGTCTTGCTCCAATATTTACTTCAGACTCTTAAAGAGTTTGTGAGCCACCTAAAAAGGGAAGAAGAAAACTTTCACTAACGGACCAATTTACTGAATATAAATGTCTTGAGGACTGGACAAACATCACATTCGCTCTTCACTTCCCTGTCTGTGTTCCTATCAGAGTGACTAAAACTGGGGCAAGTTAATTAGGGGATTAATCACAGAGAAGTGTGTGTCCCTTGACCATCCAAAATTTTCTAATGATCTAATATGGTCCCACCTTGGCCTTTCTTCAAACAAACTTATGATGGCTTCAAAAGTGTATTTCAAACCAATTACTATAGGCTGACAAACTAGCAGTCTGTTTGTAGGATTTTTTGTAAAGCCAAATGTTCTTAAATGCTAATATTTTAAATTAATCCACCTGCTTCAGAGATGACCTTTATTTAGTAGCTGTACTGCAGTGCATACTAACCAGCACAGGGCCCTCTGACAATAAACAGCCATTCCCCTAGAGCATTCTTATCTCATACAAGATGTCCTATAAATGTAATGGTTATAATCAGACAATTGCAACAACAAAAAACCAAGAACAAATAAGTAGTTAAGAGAAAAGAATTGACCCCATAGAATCAAGGTCCAGAGTTCTTCAAAATTAAATACATGACTTTGCTTCAGTAGATTATTCACCCTATACTGCAATCAAATTTATTAGAACATCAAGAGCTTTATATAAGTAGTCTGCCTGATGGATTAGGAAGCAGGAGACCTGGTTCTATTCTGGCTCAGTCACTGGCTTACTGGGTGACTTTCACCTCTGAGCCTCAGTTACCCAAATCTGTAGAGTGGGGATGATGATACTGCCCTCCTTTGCAAAGTGTTTTGATATCTACTGATGAAGAGTGCGAGGTAACAGCTAGGTACTATAGAAATAAGGCATTTCAGTCACGCCCCCATTAAAGATTGCAAGCCAACAGAAATGACTAGAGATCAGCCTCTGCTGGACTTACACAGTGGTCCCTGGCATGCAGAAAGTCAAACAGCTCTTCCGTACAGTCCTCCTGTGTGTGGGACCTTGAGGACACTCGCGCATCACAGAGCTCTAGCTTCTCCCGGGCCTTCACGCACTTCTCCGTCTGCTCACAGTGCTCCCTTATTGTGGTTAAAGGATCCTGAAGATCAAGTTAAAAGGTTGAGAACAAAAAGTCCAATAACCCCGACTACTGTAGTTATTAATTCTACGTGGTTTGATGCAAAGACTAGGCTTTGAGAGTTCAGACAATATTGCCAAATCAAATTCTACTGTATGCTGACAAGTAACATTTATATATAATGCTATACATCCACATCCAAGCCCTAACCTTGGGGGGCATATCCTCAGCTGGACAAATTGCCCCTGCTTTGTACCTCTTCTAAGAAGAGACAAGAAAAAGGCACCACTACCAGCAGTGGTGCCAGGAGCTTTTAAAGCTCCCAAACTGAAAAACATATCACCATATAACCTACACATTATAAGGCAGGCCTGATAATCAGCAAGCTCATAGACAGACATTGGTAAACACCTCATGCATTTGCACATATAACATAACATGCACTTATTTTGCATACACTACCAGATATGCCTAATCATATCTTGATAGCCATGGTACAAAAACGTATGCACAGATGTACACCTACAAGTTCACTGAAAACCAGTTCCTTATATATTAGCCTACTCTGTTCCCTGTATGCTGCACAGAACAATGAAATGCCACAAGTGTTTTCTTTCATCAGCCCCTTTTCTTCTTTTACTTTGATATCAGCTTAACAGAAGAACGACCACACGGGGTCAGAACAAAGGTCCATCCAGCCCAGGATGCCAGGTGCCCCAGAGGGAATGAACAGAACAGGGAATCATCAAGCGATCCCTCCCCGTCTCCCATTCCCAGCTTCTGACAAACAAACACAAAATCCAAAAGAACAAGCTTGTTTGATCAGAAACAGCAAGCGCCGCTCACTCCCATTCTAACACGTTTATGTTTCTTGCATCCCCCCGAGTAGAAGAGTTTTCTCCGCTTCCGTAGTTCTTACCACGAGCTCGGCCTCTTCCTCCTCCTCTCCCTGGGGGAAGAGACCAGACACCGGTCAGTGATGCTGTGCCCCCCACAAAGCCTTAAAGCCTCCAGTAACATCTCGAGCAGGGCTCCCAAGCCGGGGAGGGGGGGTGAGGAAGTTCCAGGAGGGGCGCGAGGCGACCCAGCCCCCCCC